CAGGACCCTGTCGTAGTAAAGGGGGCAAGCAGAGCCCTGAGGTGAGTCATGATTCCCAAGACTGGCAGTTATGCCCCCTTTGCCTAGAGTGGGAGCTCTGCACACTGAAGTGTACTGCGGACCAGCCACATTTCTTCTCCACCTGAAGAGTCTGTCTTGACAACCTCCAGCTACTTCCGAAAATTCAAACACTCTGCCAGTGTATGTTTGTAGGTGATCATAAAAACTCCCCAAGACAAATCTTATTGGATACAATGAAAAGTAGGGGCACTTGGTGAGAAAAGGTGTACCCTATCTTACACGGATGGCAGAGTTTGTAGGAAAGTCCTGTGTGCTGAGCTTTGAAGCTCTCCTCTCTGAGTTTTGTGGATTGTTTTTACTCACAGAAAAAAAACCCAAATCTGTGAAATCAGTAGGAAATGGAGTTAGTCAAAGGGGAGAAGGAACTTTGTAGACTGACTGCTCCCAGGCATCAGGCTTTTGCACTGCTGAATCAAAGGAAAAAAAAAAAAAAAAAAAAAAAAAAAAAAAGAGGCAACAAACAAAATAGGACAAGTTTGAGTTTGGGACAAAGCAAGTATTAAAAGCCCTAAAAGCAAATGTGCTCCAGGAAGGGAAAGCGTCCAAATGTCTGTTTCAGCTAACAATGAAAAGCCCCAGCCTGCAGTCCCCAAAGGAAGCCAAAAGCCTGGACCAGAGGGCTGGATTAGACCTGCTCAAAAGAGAAATAACAAAAGCTTTAAAATCAGGCCATTACTAAATCCTCCTTCCTATGCAGAATTGGGGTGTGCACTTCCAGCCCCCACACAGAAACAGAGGGATTTCTTAAAAAGCCACTGTGTGTCTAAACCTGCATACAGCATTGATGTGTATCTCACATTCACACATTCACTACTCTCCCAGTGAGATCATTTATTATCATAGGAGCACTTTCCCGTAATCGTGTGGACACGTGACCAGAATTGCACTTGGCACATTGATGCATTAAAACAATTTGGGATTTTTTCCCTCCTTTTCTGTAAGTGTAGTCTTGCAATACCAAAATTTATGCTACAGCACCCCCCTTGCAGCAAGGGGAATATGAAAAGGAGGAGGACCTAGCCCATGTGCTCATCTAATACCTCTACAGCTTCTCCCAAAGGAGCTGCCTTGCCATTGTCCTTTGCCAGATTCCAAAGTGGGGACCTGCGCTTGGTCTCTGAACTCCCCTTGCATGTGAAATTAGAGACAGGAATGTCTCTCCTACTTCCTGTCCCGATGCTGTTATGTAAGGGATTCCACTAATGCACTAGCATAGGACTGCAGGTCAGAAGGGATGAGTTTAATGCACGTATAGGAAAACAAGTGGCTGGATCTTGCTGTGTCATCATCCAGATCCCTTCTGCTGGTGCTTCTAGGTGTTTTGACTGTCATAAACTCCTCAAAACAAAGCATTTTGAAAGTGGCTTGATTTCAAAGGCAGAAAGCTCCACATGTGATTCATTTTTCAGTTTGTGCTCTTAGGGAGTACTGAGGAAGAAAAGTGCTAAATGGCTGCTGTTCTACAGTCTGTAGCTGCCTGGCATAGCAGGCTTTCTTTGTAGTTCTCAGGAATGTGCCAAATGCCTTCAAACACGTCCCTGTCCAAAGTTCTTAATATCTCAAATTTGCACAATGCAAATAAAAGGTAACAAAGCTTTTTGTGGGGAGGATGGGTGAGTGAGGTTACATTAAGACCATGGGATTACTCAACAGAGGCGTGCAAACATCGCTGGACAAAGTTTATCAGTCTGTTCCAAATTCTAATTTGTTGGAGCATTGTTTGTGCAGATTATGCTAAGGTTTTACTTTGGATCTTTATTGTCTGAAAAGACTCCTCTTTCTCTAAGGACCTCTATTCCCCTCTCTACTGGTAGCAAAAGATTTAAAGCCTAACAAAACTCCAGGCCACCCAGCCACAGGGTAAGATTTCCAGTAACTGATTCTGGATCTGAAATCCCCTGCCTGTTTGCAAAGCCAAGTCTAAAACTTCAAATGGCAAAAAGCAGAGGATATTTGCCAGACACTGCTCTTCACAGAGATTTGTAGCTGTGATGATAATTCCATTTTAATACCTCTTACACTGTAGGTGCTGACTTCCTGCACTAGCAAGCTGCAGTAATACTGTACAGAGAACACTGGAGCAAATATGGACGTAAAAATACAAGATGAGGCCAGAAACCCAGTGCATGCAGAAGTAATAACTAATTATCCCCCCCAAAGTAAATTTATTCATTTTTAGAAGCTTTCTCACAGAATTTAGCCTTTGTAATTAGTTTACCTTATTGAGACCAGCTGTTGAAATAACACTTCCCCTAGAGGCTAGATGCATTCAGTCTTGGACTTAGTTGCAATGAAGGGATTTGGCACTCCAATTTAGCTGCAGGTGGACAACTTGCCAGGAGCCTGGAGACTACACCTGATTTGTTTTGTGAAACTGGAAGTCAAGCAGGTGCCAGTGGGTTCAGTAGAGAGATGAGCTTAGAAATTCCAAAACAAACAAAAATTCCTTTCCAGTGGTCCCTTCTGAATTGAGGGATCTTCTCATGGTTATTCCTTTCATAAAGAGGCATATTAAGGAGGCAAAGGCTATAGTGCCTTGCTTCTGCTTTAGCTGGAACATTTTCTCAGTGATCAGTCTCAAACTGAAATGTGTTTTTGTTGTTTTGACAGGTACCTGACCCGCTGGCCCGTCAGATCTGCAAAGCCCATTTGGAAGAGGGGCCCTAAGTGGTGCAAAAAGCCCTTTCCAGTCGGACACCCTTTGCTGAAGGATAATATCAAATATACACAAAAGCCTCTCTGTTTAAACCACTAGTGGCCAGAACTAGCATAGTCAGTAAGCACATGTTGTCCACTGTTCTGCTGGGGTTTTTTTTTTCAAGTTTGTCAATATCTGAAATTTTCTTATTCCAGCATTGCCTTCAGTACTCTATATTGTGTCCAGTTGTGATCTTTTTCTCTAGGAGAATACAAGAGCCATCAAAGCAAAGTTCAGTGTGCAGGATGATTTGATGAAAGGGTCAAAGACTTCTACTTCAAAGCCAGAAAGGATCTGTAGGCTTTTGTTTCTTTATGTTCCACAAACTGGTTTGGAAAAGGATGTTTCCTTCTCTTCCTAGCAGTGAGTGGTGTGTCCCCATTAATCTGTGTTTCAACTCAGATTTGCCTCATTTGGGCTTTTGTACCTGTGACACAGATGGAAGAAAACTTTCTCTGCAGCACTGTATTTTTTCAGCAGTAACAGATATTGTTACTGACTACTGAAATTATTTTTTTTATTATTATAATCTGTACTATCCATAATTTTCAGCAGAACACCTGTGGCAGTGGCAAACAGGTGTGTGTCTTACATGTCCCCTTAAGAATTCCTGGCTTGTTCTTCACTCCTGAATCTGGCAAATACACAGTGTTGACATCCTTGATGACTGCCTGGTTTTTGTCCCCCGGCAAATAAATTTTTCATAAATCTTCCATGTCAGTGATATGGTTGCTTCCTGGGATAGTTTGGAACTGATTATCTATCCTGTAACTAAAAGGTGGCACCATTTCTCTCCCTGTGTAGTACACATACAGATCTTCCACCTACTGACCATTGCTAATTATGGGCCTGGTATGAAAGGCTCATTAAATTTATCATGGTCATTATTGTTTTGGCTCCATTTCTTTGGTATTTATCTGGGGACTACAAATCAATAGAAAATTTTTATGTACTACTATGCCAATTAACCTTGTATTGCTTTTATTGGAATAATCTGCTAATACCATCAGCATGGACAGGAACCAAAGGTAAGGATAAACCTGTATTATCCAGGAAATCAAATTAGATTTAAATGGTTCTTTTTAGCCTTATTTTGTGAAACAAAAGCCTTAGATTCAGCCCGTTGAGCTGGCCAAGACCTTTTGCTTTGGGAGACAGAGCCAAGACTTCATTAACCATACTGAGATAAAATCTCTGGCTGACTGTATCTGTTTTATAAAGCTTTGAAAGCTACAGCACTTCAGAAAGGAAAATATTTTTCTTTATTCTCATACATAGAGAAGTTACTCTGTCTTCTAGCCCAGGTAGCTCTGCTCAGTGAGCTTTGCTAAAGGAAGAGTCACTGGATTAAACCATTGTCTTAAGATGAACCTAAAAAAGCATATTTTTCAAGACCAGGTGATGCCTACAGCTATTTTTTCCTACATTTTTAGTGACATGAGCTGGAAAGATCCTTCTAATTTTGGTAAAATCTTAACATCTGAAAAGCAAAATACTCTCTTCAGTATGCTTTTTTAGAGTTCAGGGTTTAATACAGATCTCGTACAGTATATATCAGCTTTCTGCCCTGACTCCCTCTGCTTTTGTCATTCATAGATGACAGCAGGTATTCATTCATGTTTCCAAATTAGTTCTTTTGTAATCAGACAGATGGCCTGGGTTTGATTTCTGACCTGGAGCTTGCCTGTCAGGGAAGAAAATGCCATTTGTTACTATCTAAAAGATCCACAGTGACACATTACAGGGAGAGCTTGGTGCTAATAACGCCAAGGTTGTGCTCAACCCCCATATGAGCCATTCACTTAAGAGCTGGACTCGACGAGCCTTGTGGGTCCCTTCCAACTCAGAATATTCTGTGATTCTCTGAATTCCATTTGGAGTTCAGGGAGGATTGCATACAATGAAATCCTAGGAAAATAATCAGGGCCAGCATCCAGGCACAGAAGAATCCTGCTCAAAGTGCAGAGGTTTCACATTTTTATTAGAACAAGCAGTAAACAAAATTTCCTAAGTATAAAATGTAGATCTTTTCTAGTTCTTGAATCCTTCTCCCAGACAGAAGAGTCACAGCATGAAGGGCAGATCGAGATTCTTCTCACCAGTGCCAAAGTAGACGTAGCCGAATTGCTTGGTCATTGGGACATGGTAGAATGTCAGTCCCAGCCACAGCAGGCTCCGCAGCACCACCACAGTGCCTCCCTTCTCCAGCTGGATACTCCAGGAGCCTGTGTGAGAAGATGTGCAAGTGAATCACTGAAAAAGAGAAAGAGGCAGTGCTCTGACAGCAAGTTAACCTAAGTGAGAGAAGGGCTGCCATGGGTTCTGCCTGACCAGTTAACAGTGTGCAAGGCTGCACTGGAGTTTGTGACACCTGAAAGGAGGAAAGTCGGGGAGAACATAAATCTCGATGCCCTGTTTTCCTTTTGTCAGTTCAGCACTGCAGGCTGCCCTGGTTCCAGATGTCTGTCTGGGTTCACATAGTAGCATATTCCCATGGCTATGGTGGTAATGTCATATGCGTCACAGGAAGGGACCCTCAAGCTCCAGACTGGTATAGCTGATCCCCAGGAGAGGCTGCAGCTATTCTTGGCTCTATCTGAGTGGGCAGCAGTTACTCCAACAAGCTCTGCCACCTACTTGTAGCTAATAGCTATAGAGAGCCAAGATGAGCTATAGCAATCCTGCATAGGAATGAAATTTGTCCTTAAAATAAACTTCTAGCATTAGTAGTGGGAAGAGAAAGAAGGTGCTTTCCTCCTTCAGAGAAGACTGGTTTCTTTGATGCAGCAACTGGAAAAAAATGAGAAAATGAAAAGTAGGGTATTTCCTATCTGAGAAATATATGGAAAAGGTTAATTCTCTTCAGTCTTTCTTGGCTCCACTGTTGAAGAGGATGTGCGTGGTAGGGGCAGAGGGATTAGTTTCCACATTAATTTTGTTTTGGCTCCACAGAAGAGGTTCAGAGCCAGTGTGAAAATGCAGTTTCTTCTGGATACAAGGAGCTCAGAGCCTCTGAGTATTTATTTTGCATCTGACATGACAGCTTGGGAATTGTGCCAGAGGGAGGGGGCTGAAGCATCAGCTTGGATTCAGTGCTGGAGGGCAAGGACCTGCCAGGAGAAGAAAATACCACCTTCAGCACCAAATCAGTACTACCTAGAGGCTACAATGTAGGGAAGAAGGGTCTTCCTGAGTCTCTATCTAAAAAAAACAGGAGCAGGCCCAAATTAAAAAACTGTGGTTGGAACTGTCAGGCTACCATTGGCCTAGAGTCAAGCAGTCAGCCTATCTGTACCCAAAGCCAAAATGTGCCAATTCCAGAATAAGCAGAAAGCACATAATGTGTTGGGCTATTTAGGCAGTACTCATCTTTGTAGATAATTTTAGGCTCATTAATTTTAGGCTCATCAATTTATGCTATGATTCATGCTTACTCATGTCACGGTTAGCCTGGGGAAGGGCTTCTGTGATTGCTGTCAGCTGCGTGTCCTCCCGCTCCCACTCACTCGTGACTCTTGGCCAATTTTAGTCACATCTGACAAAGAGCTGAAGGGCTTTAACACCCCAGGTTCCTACAGCATGTCTCCCTGGGATGTGACCCAAGGGCTGGCTGCAGCTTTTGGAGCTTTGGTCTACCAGCAGGTGCAAGGAAGCACAGGCTGTCAGGCCTGCCTGGCAGGCACAAAGCAGCAGCTAGCTGGGCAATCTGCGTTCGTGCAGCCTTGGGCTCTTGCGTGCTCCCTCGCAGTAGGTGTTGTCTCACGTGCAGTTCATGGCAAACTACAGTAGCTGAGGGAAGGAGGGAAGTTGAGGGGAAATGTTAATGTGGTGGCTACAGAATCAGAAAGGAACAATACAATTCAAAACCCTGTAAAAACAGGTGTGTTGAATTGTGCTGCTCACCTGTTTCCTAACTCCTCACTTCGTATTGCTGTACTTCTCAAAAGTTTCTTGGACACCACTGTTTCCTCTGCCTCTTTCAGTAGCAAGTTCCACGTTTGTTATACTATAATATGCAAGTCTTGTGTCATCTCTGATCTGCTACCTTTCAAAGTACCCTCTTCAGTCATGTGCAAATGTGGAACTCAGTGAACAGCAAGAATACCTACCTCCTTTCTGACAGACTGACTCGAGCTGCTGGACAGAAGTACAAAACAGACATTCACAGTCAGGAGATTTCTGCTCTGGAGAACTTACTCACTCTACTCCACATTTCTACTAAATACAAACAACTGGGGTTGCAGTAAAGCAGAGGACTACTTAATATCAGACAGTCAATACAGGTGTGTGCCATCTTTTCACCTTCTGTGACATTCTTTACACAAGTCCTAGGTACAACATGAGCTAATATCTTCACAAGCAGTGGTTTCACGCACAAGGCAACCCCAATCTCCCATCCGGTCTCTCTAGTGCCACTCATATGGACACAAACTGGCCTGGATCTTTTTCATACCTGGAGTAAAAATGCCTATTATGGTTCAGCCACTGGGATTGCAAATCCTGACTGAGAGGATCTGCATGTTCTTAAGAAATTCCATCAATTGGATATCATGGAAACCCAGATGAGGAACACTTTGCTACAAGGCAGATCATGCGGTGACTGAAGCACTACAGCCATTTGCTGTCAAAGGACAAGCTTTCAGTTTCTTGAACTTTGTCTCTAAAAGTTTCCAGCATTTGCTAGTGACAGTAGCAGGACCATGTGTAGGAGTGTTGATCAACAAGTAGCAGGCAACTAGGTCTGAATGTAATAGAGACAAGTAACTCTTAATTTCTCCTTTGAATGACTGCTCCCAGCACATAGTTCTTCAGCTTGAATTTGTATAAATGACATACAAGTCTTTCCTCCAAATACTGCTGGTACTTGCTGCAGCTTTACACGCTGGTTTGTGGGGAAGGGGATGATGACACACCATAAACTTTTCATAAAGTTTCTCTGACTAAAAGATAATGCAATGAGGAACTCTCATTTTCTTTGATTTAGGACCAGACCTCTGAGAAGCAAGTCTGTCAAGAATAGGACTATGCCTTGCCTTGCTGGGTGGTGAAAACCTTTAGGGATTATCTAATTTGTTAATGCCTCTGAATGTACTGGAAGCATCTAACAACCTGGGTACATGTGATAGCTTGTTTATATATGTTCACCTACACAGATGAACCCTCTGCCCCAAACTATTTACACAGAACAAAAAGAAATGCCTGGAGCATGACAACTGGAAAAGGTAAGAGGGAAAACAGGGTTTTCAATGCTCTTAGGAACTGTATCTGGATTTAGACATCTTTTTGTTGGATAAATTCACAGAGGAGGTAGAGTAAATCAAGTTCAACATAATCAAATTCCCCTATCTGTGCTCTGGGGCAATAGAGTGGTTTATCAATCTCAGCAGAGTATTCATCAGCAGTTAACTCCACTAATCAAAGGAACTTCCCATGCACCTTCACACCTGGCAGAAATGGACAGATGCAATTGAAAATGGCTCCATTCACTTTCACACTACATCTCTGAAGGCTGTGATGTGCAGTTTCTACATTTCCCTATCATCTGTCCAAGCTGACAACTCTCAAAGAGCTCAAATTTGTCATTTCATAAATGTGAGACCTTTGGGGAATATTAATTATTATTGTTATACTTTCCAGCTCCTCTCTGGCCCTTCATTCTGCATGTAGTTCTACACAAATATGAACAGTAAACTTTTGCTGATGCTGCATAAGCCTTCCTGTGAAATGAGGGCCTGTACAAAAACAAGCAGGTTACGTAAGGGCAATCCCATCTGGACCAGCACAACATAGGTTGAGAACAGGAAAAAATTACAAGAAGCTGTCTGGAACTGTAATGTCATTTTCACTGGCATCCTGTTTTCAGCCAGAATGATGATTAATCCTAGAGCTGTTCTTTATTTTGCAGAGCCAAAGAGTAGCAGCAGTGCCACCTTCCACCTTCTAAGTGGATCACTAGAGACATTTTTCTAACTAATCAAAGGTGATTTTTTTCAATATACTTTTCCAGACTGGACTTTTGCAACACACAAAGCCCATTCAGAAACTGCATTTGATACACAATGCTGGTGTATCTTCTAAGAAGAGCTTACATTAAAGTTCTGGAACTTCTCTGGGTTCTTTGGACTTTTTCATAAAGGGAAAAAATTAGAACCCATTATCTCATTATTTTTTTTCCCCCACACCTCATCACATCAGCTCTATTTGAGGAAATGCTGCATAAAGCAAAATTTGAACTTGTGAGACATGGAGAAAGTTGTTCTCTCAGAAAGATACAGGATACTTGGGTTGTCTGCTATCACAGCTCAAACCTCACTATATATCTAACAATATGCTTTTTTTTGGCAGGGCCCACCTTTCTTGCCGGAGTTTGAAATACTGATGTCGTAAATCATTCTAGAAGTACTTTAAACAGTAACTAATGAACAGTATGCAATAATAGCTTAAAATGAATATGCCACCTTTTCTTCCCTAAGAGAAAGAAAGTCTTAGAAATGCATTTAATAATGCAATATAAAAAGGAATGAGAACTACGAAAATTAAATGCTACTTTCATCCTTTTTTTTTTCTTTTTCTCTCTTTTGTATTTTAAACTTTTGTGCTATTACAGATGGTTGTTGCGGTAAAACCATCACATAGATAGCTTCAGATCTGTAGTACTATAAAAATGTAGAATTGGGCTGCTGGGTCCAAATCCTTTCCATCACTGGCTGAGAATATTCCATGGCAGTCCCTGTGTCAGACAATATGTCTCTAACTGAGAGACTGGGAAGCTCAAAGCATTAGTCTGTAAGGTACACCAAGATTCCTAGATAAAAGTTGTCAAGAAAAAAAGATTTTAAAATATTATTATTTTCATTGGAAAGAATACAACTAAAATTAAGAGACAGCAAGTTAAGGTTGTATTTCCTAGACTTAAATACCAGTTTTAACTTGCATCTCCATGTGTGCTGTCTCTAAATCAGGCAGCAGAGTTAACTGCACACATCATGTAAAGCTCACTGAGGTGCAGGGAACTGGTCATTGCTCTCACACAAGAGATTCCTACCAGTAACACTGCTCTGGTGAGGTTCCCAAAGTTCAAAATACATTTCTTAAAAGAGCAAGTTAATATTTAAGCTGCACCCAGCAAACTTAAGAAAGCCAAGCAGGCTTTCTGTGCTGAAACTATTGCCTGTTGCTGCTCCAGAAGGGAAGGGAGGGAGCTGCTGTGTGGGAGGAAAGAGCATGGGAAAAGTATCCGCTGGATGAAGATCTGGAGCTTCCTATTCCCTCTTTGGATCAGGCTGCAGCCTCCACCCCTCCAAACACAGGCGGGAATTCTGAGGAGTTCCTTACATCTTTCCCAAACAAGAAAGTGCTTTGAAGATCCTGATGCTCACCCTCTGTTAAACCACTGCCTTTTTTATGGCCCTTCAACAGCTGCCAGAACACCAGGGCTGAATTTCAAAAGTCAACCTCCTTCTCAGCTTCTTCTTCCTTTCCAGTCGCCAATAGAAATCCCTGTCTTATCCCCCATGTCTGCCTCAGCTATGGGCTGAATCTTGTAATCCACAGAAGCAATAGGGTGCGTGAGACATGAGCTTTTAAACAAAACCCTTCCAAGAGGGCTGTTTGCAGAAGAACTTTCCTGCTGTAACTGGTCCACTTGCAGGATGACCTCTCATAACACTGCTGCTTTGGAGGTGATTCAGCAATGCCTCATTTCAGGGCAAGCTTGAGAAGAAACAGCTTTAAGAGCTAGACAGCCTGATAGAGAGGCTCCACATTGCAAAAGCTCACAGAGAGTCATAAAAGTGACATTATCAATTCTTCTTCAAAGGAGAAAATGTCTCAAGGGAAAAGCAGCCACAGTGTGGTTGCACTTACCATTAACACATTATGCTGCCACAAGAGCAGGTTACAACATCTCTTGCTGCAGTGAGTCCTGAGTGAGAGTGAAGTATGGAGTCACAGGACAAATATTAACACCCGGAGAGGGGCAACATAACCATTTCCCTCTGCAAAAGCAGCCGCTGCTTGGCTGCATGACCCCAAGCACTTAGAGCTGACAAAGCCTCACTACACCCGTGGGATTTAGCTGCCATTTCCCTCCAACAGAAAATCCTACACAGGGAAGAGCTTCCTACTTCTAATTTGTTGTCTGTAGGGAACAAAGACAAATTGTAAACCAGAGCAGCTGTAAGGAAAGGTCACCGTGCTTTGGCTCTCAATAAATTGTGCCACACAGGCATTTCACACACAGCCTACCAGCCATAAGGACACATCCAAACAGTCCTATGTGGGGCCCAAACTCCTTCGTGCCACTTACTGGCTGCAAACTAAATCTCTTCCATTTGCTTGACACACCACCTGCACCCCATATGTTAACACTGCTGTCAATATTTCCAATTCCCCATATAACTATTTAATAATAATTAAACAAAAACACAGACTGGTTGCAGGTTCAGTACTATTTTTAAAAGCCTCCAGAGCCAAGAAAGCACAGCTTACAGTCAGATGCTGCCAAGCGGCTCTTGCATGGTCCTAATTCCTGCCATGTCCTTGACACACACATACCACCATGCCCAAAACCCAAAGTAAAATGGTCGTACTTTAGAGGCTTATCTTCTTCCACTGGGGATGTCTCTGCAGTAGAAATGATTTTGACAGGCCCAGGCCTTCTATTTACACATGAAGAACCTGTTTCCTGCTAACAAGGAACACACAGGGATTGCAGTGCTGTCCCAGATACACAGTATTCAGGTACCTCCAAGTAAAAATGAAATTCAGGCCATATTTAGACATACGACAACAGTGCTGCTTAATTCAGCTGAAGCACCCTCTGCCCTCAAACCATTATTCTCACCCTCATCATTCTTCCATCATAGAGACCACAAAAGTGTTTATTTATTGCTTAGCGAGTCAGGTGGGGGAAATAGTCTGGCTGAAAAATATACTAGAGAGAAATAACATTATTTTTCCAGCTGGAATCTGCACAGCCAGCAATGCCAACACAAAAGAAGGGACAATACACAGAAATAAATGAGCACCAGAGGATGGGAAGGACTGAAAAAGCTAGCACTGAAGTAATACATATCAAATTAGAGCCTCCCTTATAGCCTGTTAGTTTGCCCTTTAGTCCTCCATCCACCTGATAAAACAAAACAAAACAAAAATATTCTAATTAAGAGAAAGATGTAGACTGCACAGAAAGGATTAGAATAAAGGCTTGGAATAGGGCTGTGCACTAGTGGAAACAGCAAGACCATATACAATCAAAACTTAAAAGGAGTAGGAAAAACTGATTAAATCCATGCTATTTGTATTCTGACAACTACAGTACAGATCACTGAATCTTGGGTTTTCTGTAGTAAATTTAGAAATCTTTCGGCATGGCAAATCACCTCCTTCCAAAGCACAAGTTTATGCCGGGTCTCATCACACTCCATATTTCTTGTTCAGCTGGTCGCTGTGGAAACGTTTTTGGAGCGTGCCAGGAGTCACGTAGCATCTACCTGGGGAGCCCCTGCATTAATCCGTCACCTTCGTGGGTTTCTCTGAGCCCATTGGCTGGTGGGAAGAAAAAGGAGTCTCTCGCCCCTCCCTGCTCAGAATGAAAGACGCTTCCTCTAAATCTTGCTACAGGATTTCAGGCTCAATTCAGCTTCTTTGGGGCTTTTGTCACCAAACAAATGTGGTGTCTTTGAAAGAAAGATTAACAGTTTGATGAAAGGATGCAATGGGCAGCTTTGTTCTAGCCTGCTTCCCCTAGAGCTTTTGGTCACTGTCACTTTCTTACCCACGGGAGAATATCTGTCTGATTCTCAGAGGAGATTATGGCCACCTTGTAAGATTTTTCCTCTCCTGGTAACAAAGCACTGGCCACTTTGAGGAGGTGATAATGATGAACAGGGGCTGGATTAGGGGCAAAGAACCTCACATTGATCTCTGAATTCTGAGAAAACACAAAGGAGTCGATGCTGGGATTCAAAACCCACCAAATGCTTAGAGCACATCCAGTTCACTCTCCTGCAGGAGGGGCAAGTCCACAAACCCTGTCAGTCCCCCAGTTGTAGTTCTTACTTCATCATCAAATTAGCAAGGCTAGTTAAAAGAGCTTGGGATGAGGAACAGATGGCATGGATTATAAACTGTTGATGTTTTTGTACTAAACTAGATACGAATTCTGGACTAAATTACCCGAAGAGTTTACCAGTTTCTGAGAATAATGTCATACTGAGCATTTCCACATAGCACAGTGCAGTGCTAATTCTGAACACTAAAGGCTAAGCATCTTTTAATGCCTGTGATAGCCTAGCTATTTCTGCTCAGCGTAACTGCTGTACAAATACACCCAAAGATGAACTGTTCCTTGTCCTTTTCCCTTTACACACTGCCACACACCTCTCAGCATGCAGATTTTCAATCCATATGATACTTGTGTACAGTAAAACAAGATGATGCTAACTGGCTTCCTCCTTTCAAAAGCCCTGTGGCCAAATGGGCAGCAAACAGCAAAGCAAAGCTATAGGGCACCAATGCCAATGACTGTACAGGCAGGAGCTGCCACTCCTTGGAGCCCCTTCAGAAACAGATCACTCCTAGCAAAAGCTGACCTTGTTCTGACTTCAGTGACACACAAACTGTCCTAGGATTTCTCCCACAAGTAATTTTTCATCATTTGCTAGAGAAAAGATTAGCCCAAGGCGGAGTGATGTGGTGATAAGCCTGCAGCTTCTGGTTCTATAAGGCTTTATCAGCATTTCCCATCATTTTAGCAAAAAGTTCATCTCCTTATTATGTCCAAGGAACCAGGAGCTTAAATGAAGACAGGGTGGGTCATGATTTCTTTCACTGAGGAGAAAAAACCCTTTTAAAAAAACCCTTTTCAACCCTGGAAAGTTACTATGAAAACTCTGCTTCTGTCCTCATTCTTTCCCTACAGCAGTCTGGAGGGTGAAGGACTCCACCACAGCTTTCAACTGATGGGCAGCCCTGTTCCAGTATAAACTCATCCAAGGTCTGACTAAACAAAGCCCTGAGGTGATATAGACCCAGGACCCAAAAGCAGTGAATACGCTGCTTTATTACCCAAAGACACAAAGCCCAAGGAAAACAGGCTCCTTTCCAGTAATCAAAGCAGACCATGATCAGCCTGTCAGAAGCTCTAATACTAGCTGGCCCAGGAGTCCTCCTACCGTGCTGCCACAAGAGAGGTTCAGTCTGATCTTGAACTCCTGAGCTGGCAGCACCCCAGCTTGTAGGAAGGACAGCATCTTATCTTGCTCCTGGGCAGCTTTCTTGGGTCACTGCAGGAATGGCCTTAGCAGCCTCTACCCATCACTGGTAAAAATTAAGAGTGACCCTACTTTTGAAGAATGTAGGGGACTTGCTTATGTATTGTGTATGTCCATTCACATGCATGTGATCTCTAAGGATGCTGAGAAAGCCATTGAAAAGCTTAGTGATCATTCCAGAAATTGGCTAATCTTGAAAGGGAGAGAACATATTCTCTATACCTACAGTTCAGGAGGCCAGAATGC